ACACACACACTCACACTCAATTGTCATTTGAGGCTTCCTTTCTTATAAAAACTCCTTTGACATAGAGTGACTTTGGACCCAGTGGGAACTCTATTTGGGGGAGGGGAGCAGAGTCTCACTAGGTAGCCCTGGCTGTCCTTGAACTAGCTATAGATTCCAGGCTAGCCTTGCATTTATAGACATCTTCCTGTCTCTGCCTCAGAAGACAGATTAAACACAAATAACACCCTGCCTGACCAACAAGGAACTCTTAAGCTGCCCTAGGGAAGACATAAAGAGTTGATGCAAGACAGATGAAAAGGGTCAGAAGTAAAGAAAAATTACTTTGATATTTCAGTATTTGAAAGTGTGACTACTTGGGAATTATTTTTGAGTAATTGTGGAGGAATGTCAGTTACTTAGATAAATTATTTTAAATGGGCAACCAGGGTGATCACACACGTCTAGCCATGCCATTTATAGGATTCAAATAGGGAGTATCACTTGCACCCAGAAGTTTGAGCCAGCCTCCAAAACACAGCAAGACCCTGCCCCCAGCTCAAAAGCAAGCATATAGTGCCTCACTTAGGCCAGAGCTAAGCTTTTAACCCCCTAAATAATAAAACATTGTTGAAAAAAATTAACTCAAAAAATAATGCTTGTCTCAGTAGAGAGAAAAGTTTCCATTATTATGTAAGTGAGCCGCTGACAAGCAACTAAACGTATCTGAAGGCATGATTTGGATCTTTAGAGTGATGTGCAGGCTGTCACAGAGCTCCTCCACTCGAGTGGTCCTCCTGTCTCTGCTTTCTCAGATAACCTGCCACCATGTACTCTAGCAAAGAAGATGATAGCTAATGCCTTACATTACACACCAAGAGAGAGTAATATAGGTATGCCATTTAAAATACAAATATAGGAGCTATAGAGATGACTGAGTGGTTAAGAGCACTTGTTGCTCTTGCAGAGGACCCAAGTTCCGTTGCCAGCACCAACATGCAACTCCAATTCTAGGGAATCAGATGTCTTCTGTTGACCTCTGCAAACACCCAGGCACTCACATGGCACATATACATACATGCATGTAAAATACTCATACACTAAAAAGAAATCTTTTTTAAAAATGAAGATAAATATTAGAAGAGTTGGTAATCTGCCATTGAAGATAATAAATGATTGAATACTGTTTGACTGAGATTAGGTGGTTATTTTGAGAAGAAAATTTAATCAGTAATAAAGGTAAAGATATATATATATATATATACATATATACATATATATATGATTAAGAAAATCTTAATCCAGATGTATCATTCACAGATGAGCACTGCATGGTCTCTTCCTTGCACATTGGCTTGTTGTGGGTCTCTGTGTTAATTGTCAGCTGCTGCAAGAAGATTCCCCAATGAGGTTTGAGAGATTCTCTGATCTCTGGGTGCATCAATAATCACTAGGAGTAATTTTACTACTTATGTCCATTTAGCAGAATAATAATGATAAGTTCTCTCCTCAGCCTTTGACTTATATGGCCAGAGGTTCAAAATAGCCATTCATAACGGCTTCTGTGTTTTGTCATTCTGGTGATCATATTCATGACCTTGTGTTTATTTTATGGCTTTGTATGGATAGTGTCTCAGGGTGTGTGCATGCTAGGCAAGTATTGCACCAGTGAGCTCCGCGTCCAGCTCTTGTGGTTATGATGTGAGGTGTGTCTTTTGGTGAAGTGTAAAGCTATGTAGCTCTCCTGTCACCCAGCTGGCCAAAAGATGGCTGTGTCAGACTGCATTGCAGACATCAGGTTAATAGTGTACTTTGAGAGGAATGTACATTTGGCCTATGACCGTCATTGGTCTTTCGTCCCTGAACCACTAATCTGCAGCCAGGAAGCAGCCCTGACCCAGTTGGGTGAGGCACAGGGTTATTCTGCCAGTGGGAACATGGCATTTCTGGCAAGAGATTCCTCTCCTAACTGTTGGAGTTGGTGCCATGGCAGGTTTTCCTGACTCGGGGAGCTAAGTGTTGAACCTCCATCCAGCTGGTAGATTATTTGTTGGTTTTGATTATCTGTCCCACTGAGCTCCTTTGCTGGCACACACAATCAGAAGCAGGCCACTGTTCAAAAAGGAACTTTGTATTTTGAAATTAGAATAGATAAAATGTAATTCGTTTATGTCAAGATTATGCTTTTGTAGAGGAGGAAGAGGTTTATTGGATTCAATTGCTGTGTTGCTGGTTAGTGCTAGGACTGGAACCCAGGTTAGTGCTGGGACCGGAACCCAGGGCTTCACATGCCCTAGGTGGGTGCTTCACTTTGAGCTGTACCCTCAGCTCCCAGTCAGGAATGCTTGAGGACAGCCATGCTTCCTCTACCAGGTTATTCCTTCCTGACCCCATGCTTTCTGGTCTTCACCACACTCTTTGGAGGCAGGTCCAGTCATCACTGATTTTAGGTTGAAGAGAGTGTCTTGAGAGTTGAGTGACTTGGCCAAGGTCACAGAGGTGCAAAGCCCTGAGCTTTGATTAGTGTGGACTCTTGAATGTTCTTTCCCTGTAGCTTTGACTGACTTTCAGTGCAGCTGCTTTATTATGTGAGGATATGAAAACAGCTGCTGTAAACTTAAAATGGTACAGAGTGCATGTGTTGTTATTGAATAATGCTTACAAAAATTGAAAAATTTTTAAGGAAGTTTGAATTTTGTTTTCTTTCTGTCACTCTTCTGTATCCTCCTAATGAAATACACTAATGTATATGTTTAGTCTTTTTATCTCTTTGTCTGTCTCTGGTGTGTGTGTGTGTGTGTGTGTGTGTGTGTGTGTGTGTGTGTGTGTGTGTGTGTAGGTCAGGGGTCAATGTCAGATGTTTTTCTCTTTATCTCTCCACCTTATTATTTGAAACAGGGTCCCACACTACACCTGACACTTGTCAAGTTGATTACTCTGACTAGCAAAATCCTGGAATCCTTTGTCCTCCAAGCTTTGGGGTTGTAGGGCAGCACCCCAACCTGGCTTTTCAGTGTGCTTCAGGGACCCAGACTCAGGTCCTCAGGCTTGCACCACCAAAACTTCACTCACTGAGATATGTCCCCAGCCAGATACATCTCATATATATTTCAGATTTAAGTCTCTCTACCATGTCTGGAATATTGCTGCTTTCTGTTCAGGGTTTCCCATCTGTCATTCCTTGCTGCCTAAAATTGATCATACATATTGATCCAGTTTTTAAAATTAAGCTTCTCAAATTGCGTATCTGTTTAAGCGATTGTCTCCCACCATTCATAAGAAACATTCAGCCTCTAGTGGTGCCATCCCATCTCACACCTATGGCCATCTCACACCTATGGCCATCTCACACCTATGGGCCTTTTATGGCTTTACATTGTCTCTAAGCTTCTTGTCCATGATAATCTGTCTGCCCATGCTTTTGAGGCATGTATTGTCTCTATAATTTATTTGTTGCTTTTTGTATATTGTGTATTTTTATTGTCTTTGTGTGTGTTTTCTCATCCATTGCATGAATTGTTACCTGTTGAATCAAGAAAAGATGGGGATTCTCTGGGTTGGCCATATTAAACACAGGCTTTTATAAATAGCATGATGTAAAAGAAACATGGAGTGAAGTTTTAAACTTTTAATGCCAACATATAACTCCAGCTCTAGACTTCCCTGCTCTTAATTTCACAGATTCTAGGCAAATAAAACTTACTGACTTTTCTATTATGTTTTACATCTTTAGTTATATTTCATTGTAAGACTGCAATGATGTTAGTAGAATTTTAATAACTTAAAATATTTTAAAGAAATAAATCAGTTTTATTTGGTATTTCAGTCTGAAAGATATAGAAACCTCCTGTGCATGAAAGTAATATATCGATAAGTATGTGGATTTTCAAAAATAAAATAATATTTGAGAACTCATAGCAAGTGACTTTATCGTATTGTTGGCATAAACTGAATTTGATGGTATAAACTGAATATAGCATTATAAATATAAGAAAAATGAGTCATTTGCTTTATCTTATTTAATATATGGGATATAGTTGGAGGTCATTCATAATATTGAGAAATGGCATAAGAACATTTTAAAGTATGTATAAATACTATGTTTAAAATGGCCTGGTCAGATATGAAAACACATTGCATTTTGTGTAGCAAACTTGCTTCTTGCTTATTATGTATGAAGTTGAAAATATTCCTGACTGTTTTTTGTTGTTCGTGTTTTTTTAGTCTACTTTTTTTCTATGTCCAGCTCCTTTGGTTTGCTTAATGCCATAGATGTTCTGTGATGAATACTTTTACTTTAATGTACAAACTATCCAAAATATGTACAGTATAAGTTATTTTTGCTTTGAAATATTTGAGTCTCAGTAAGATAAGAAGTTTCTTCCTCAAATGAAGTAATAAGCTATGTTCATATTCATATGTGTATGTATCCAAGCTCAGTCATGTCAGAGCGCTCTGCCGGCCTGTCAGCACAGGTGCTAGCTCGGACATCTCACACCCTCAGGCTGAAGGCCCTCAGGCTGACAAATACTAATACTGTTAAGCATCCTGCAAAGGCCTTTTTAACACTTCACATTTTCCTAAAAACCAACTGTTTTAACCTGTAATTTTTTTATGACATCCAAGTAAAACCATAAATGTGTCTTTTAAGTAAACAGTTGCATATTTGATCAGCACCATTGCCTGTATCTGATGAGATCTCTTACACAATGATCCATTTCAAAGGAGGTGCCCGTTAGATTGGGATTACTCTTTGCATGAAAGTAGATTATCAGTCATTTGCAGTAGTCACATTCAGTTGTTTCACGTTTTAAATCAGACTTTGTCTCCCCAGCCAGAGAGCTACTTCGTGAGTGTGCATTGGTAGATGTGTTATTTCTCATTGTCATGGAGCTGACGCAGGTCTAAATTTTCCAGTGAGGTTTTATTTTATTAAGATTCAGGGAAGGAATAAAAGTGGACTAATTTTGAATTCACATGTATGTATTTCATATGAATTTTTCTCCTCCGATCTGCCTAAGGAAATAGAGAAATTGAGACTAGAACTGAGCGAGAGCAAGCAGCACGTGGAGCAAGAACAGCAGAAGGCAGCCCGGGCCAGAGAGGAGTGCCTGCAAGTGACAGAGCTGCTGGGCGAATCCGAGCGCCAACTGCACCTCACCAGGTATGCCCTAATCCCATTACACACTCAGCGCCCAGTGCATCCCGCTGATTCCTGCCACAGGCTTCCAAACAGTTGTTAGTCTTAGTCATTCAATTCACACACAGCTTTCAGGCACATTACAGAAAGTGGGTATGTGGCAAGCAAAACACCCAGACACGTGAATGATGAGTGTGGCAGGGAATCACTGGTATATTACAAAACCGTTTGTCTACAGCACTCAAATATTTAAGTGACTCTCTATCAGTATAAGCAAGATGACATATTTCTATCACCACCACCACCTCGCCTATTAATTGTATGTCTAATAAAAATGTTGAAATGAAGACTATGAGGAAATGTATTTATGAAAATAACCAGATTCTGTCAGTAGTGAGAGACAAAAGGAAGAGACAGGCTAAGAGCAGATTGCAATGGAGTTGATACAAAAATAAGGAATGTGTTTCCTAAGGAGGTGTAAAATTTAGAGATGAAGTTGAGACTGTTTGCATTCAGATCATTATTATAAGCAGGTTTACTGCAGGAAGGTTTTGAATTGCAATATATTTATCATAAGATATTGTGGTGCATTCATCATTGTTGTAAATTTAAGTGAGCATATAGCTCATTTGAAATTAGAATAGGACTCTAGGTTGCAAGCATTGTGAGTTTGCTGATTTAGAAACACACACACACGTGTGTGTGTGTGTGTGTGTGTGTGTGTGTGTGTGTACACATGCACATACATAAATACACTGCAAGAAAAATCTACGGAGAAGTAGATACCTAGTTTACCACTTCAGAGTTGACAGCTTTCGGGTTTTACATCAATCCTCCGAGTTTGTTCCACTCTCAGAGTGTCTAAGCTTTTGGGAGGGAATTTTGTCTGTAATTGCATATAAGTTTATGGTTTTTGATTTAATTTACAACATAGGAAAACACTGGCCTTCCAATCACAGTACTATGTTGAATTTGAGCTATGAAAGGGGACTGATCCCTTTTGCATTAAATATGACAATGTAATTCCAAGCACGGTCTGATGACAGATGGAGAAGAGCACTACTGAACAGCCTGCATTTGGAGAAAAAAAATATTCTAGAGGTTGGTGAACCTCCCAAAGTTTTGGGTTAGTGCTAAGATGCCTCCAGTTCTGTTCAAATCAAACTTTGTTAAAAAAAAAAAAAAAAACATTTTGTTATGATAATCTTCCAAATGGCTTGACACCTTCTGATTTAAGCAGTGGGAGAGGAGAGAGCTACAGGGAAGAGAGAAAAGAAAGCACTTAGACATGTATGGTCCCTGGGGAAAGCCCCAACAGATGAAACACTTTTGTGAGGAAAAATGCTTAATATTGCAGAATAATAGCTGCTCTTTTAGTGTCCATTTGAAGCATTGTCTCTGTGGCACTGAGTACGTACTATCAACCCGGTTCCTGTGGTTATTTAATCCTCAAAATTTAAACTTTAGCTTCATCATGATAATGTTGCTAGTTTCTCTTTCTGTCAGCCTTCTATTGAGAATCAACCATTTGTGTGCTAAGCACTAATAAGCTATAGAAACGGCACTGCTTTTAATGTCTTGGTGTGACTGAGCTCTGGTAAATAAATATTAATGCTGCTTTTGCCCCTTTGCAATTCTGTCTTGTTCGGAGTTAATTTCTGGAGTCAGAGTCTATGGAGAGTTTCCCTACAGTACCAGTTTGTACCGTTTGACAAGATCAGTTCCTGCAGCAGAGCATATTAAGATGCAGTCACTGCTGACATGGACGCGTGGTGACTAATTCCTTTGTTCTTAAGACAAAAGGTTGTGCCTGGCTTCTGAGAAAGCTTTTTCTGCTGTGCTTCACTTCCACACATTCTATAAGTGTGTAAGCCCACATTATAGAAATAAAGCAGTGCAGTACTTTTTATAAGCATCTTATGCTTCATTTGCGTTCATGTTTGATAAAAAAAAAAACTACAATCATAAATTTCAACATGACAATTAAAACGCCAGGGAACCAGACACATTCTTCCTTCACACTGGAAACAGCCGTGCCTGTTGGGCCGAGTATTTCTGACATATCTCTAAGAGTTTTTGCGCTTGCAGTTCGTTACTCATTCAGTATAGCCGGGTTGTGCCTGGGAAACAGCATCTTTCTTTATTGTGCAGGTCAGCTGAAGTACAGGACCACACCCCACCCCCACGCCCCCGGCTTGCAAGTAAGCATTTTGCCATTCACTCTCAGACATTTTGAGTGATGCAGTCTAGCCAAATTTTCAAAGTAAATATGAAAGCCATCTTACAAAATGATGGTGAAATAATGAGTCAAATCTGTATAGGCAGAGAAAATATTCAAACCGGAGTAGAAATCTGTGGGACATTCTGAAAGAATCATCTGCCACCTATGATACTTGACCTTATTTAAATTCAAATTGCATTAAAGTTGGGAAATAGAAAATCAGCCTTCACTGAAGGACCCAGCTGGTAAGTATAATGTTTACTTGGTACACAATCATTTATTCAAAACCTACTAGGTTTTAAGTAATTTGTTCATTCTTAAGCATAGAGAGGAAAATAAGAGTCAGTTTCTGCCCTTCAGTTGCTCACACTAAGCTGGAGGAGTCAGCTCTTCTGTGGAATTACAGTTGAGTGTTGCAGCAATGCAATGCTGGGAATAAGGGCTACTGAAGAAAAAGGATGAAGGGAGAATGGCCTAGCTCTGCATTGCAGCTAAAAACAATGATAAAAGTTGATATGTCTAGGGGGGTGTCTGGTAAAGGTCTAAGTAATAAGTTCATGTTAAGAGATCCACAATGGAAGAAGATAGGATAGATATTCTTGGTAAAGGACTGGTCTATACAAAGATATAAATACAGGAGAAAACATAAACAAGGTAGGAGCTAAGACTAGAAAGGTTCTCAAAGAGACTGGAAGCATAGCAGGCCCTGTTGTGGAGAGCCTGGTGGTTCTGAGAGGATTGGCAGCTCTTGATATACACTAAGCTTGCTGTCAACACAATGGATGATGGGCATTGTGAATTAGGATCCTAATGCAGCATCATGGACACTGAGGTTGGAGATGACACCCTGGTTAGGCCAAGGTCAGCATCTAAATCTCATGGGCCACATCGGGTCTGCTGTTTATTTCTGTATAATCCATGCATGAAAGATGTTTTTATACTGTGTGAATAATTGGGGTGAGTAAAGTTCATATTTTATCATGCCTAATCATCTGTAAATGAACTTTTGTGGGACCTAGCAACAGTTATCCTGTGTGTGATGGATGACTATGGAAGCTGAGCTGAATGAGATCTAAAAGCCTGAACTACTCCCTGCCTGGCCATTTACACAGAAAGTTAAATTTTTTGGCCACTGCAAGTGAGGTGTGAAAGAGCTTAGGACAGGATCACATGTGTATTTTTAGGAGATGAGTGAAAAGTATTCTGAAAATTGATTGAGGAAGAGAAGATTTGAGGAGTTCCATCAGAAAGGAAGCATAGACGGCTGGGGGATGGCAATGAAGGGTGGGGCCATGCTGTCCCAGCCAAATAACAGGGGAGTCATGTGTTCAAAATGCATTTTTTGGAGTAATAAGTATGAAAGGAACAATCAAAAGCAACTCCATAATTCCTGGCTTAGACTGATTGGATGATCCTCAGTTTCAACCAGGAAGCATAAAGAAGTAAAAGAAGAAAATAATATATTGTATTGGGAAACCTGAGTGTCAGTGTGGTTTCTGTGATGTAAAGAGATAGATAGATAGATAGATAGATAGATAGATAGATAGATAGATCAATAGATTGATATATAGATGATAGATATAGATAATAGATGACAGATGATAGATTGATGGATGATCTATGGTTGGACAATAGCTCTATAGATAGATGATAGATAGATAGATGATAGATAGATAGATAGATAGATAGATAGATGATACATGGATCTGCAGGATAGGGGATCAGTATATACAAATATATAAATATGGGAGTGTGTTGAAACCATCTCAGGGGGAAAAAAAAAAGCTTTTTTTGGTCTTTGGCCATATGCATGGTAAGCATACACCCTACCATTGAAATACAATCCTAGTCCAAGGACCCTGTTTTTCAAGTTCAATGGAAGAGAACCACTGACCAACAAAAGTGAGACAGGGCCTTCAGATGTATAAGAATAAAGAAAGATGATTGAGACAGTTTGGTGAAATAATCAAGTGCTGTTAAATCTCATACTGCACCTAAGGGAAGTCATAGAGGGTGTCCAGGACTCTAGCCTGGTCACAGTGTGGCATCTACTACTGCAGAGACAAACCTGGTCATAGTGGGGTATCTGGGGCTGCAAAGACACACCTAGGTTATAGTGAGGTATCTAGGACTCTGGATATAGTGGGGTGTTGGGACTGTGGAGACTAAGCAGGGTTATAGTGGGGTGTTTAGTGCTGTATCGAAAAACCTCTTTGGGAGTTAACTGTTTTTTAATCTTTAGACAAATTACTCAATGCTTTATGTCTATTTACTTGTAAAATTGTAAAATGAGGTGAGAGACTAGATTATTTATTCATTTTTCTATTGTAACTCTAATAGTAATTCTAAGTGATTTACAATATTACCTTTGTTTTTTGTTTGTTTGTTTGTTTGTTTTTCCTTTGAGACAGAGTTTCTATGTGTAGCTCTGGCTGTCCTGGAACTCACTTTGTAGACCAGGCTAGCCTGGAACTCAGAGAGATCCACCTGCCTTTTCCTCCCAAGTTCTAGGATTAAAGGTGTGGGCACCACCCTTCCTGGAATAAGATTGCCCATTTTTAATTTCCTGTTTCTGAGCACTTACTGCTTTCAATGGCCTTTGCGTAAGATGTTTCCTTAGCTTGCACTTCTCAGGGATTTTTCAGAACTGTCTTTCGTCTTGCCATTCCAGAGTGCTGTAACATAGGCTGCACTGGTCTCTCAGCAGGGGTTATGGAGGTCGTCACCTAATACCTGTCCAGTCTCTAGCTAAGCCTATTCCACACACCACCCTCTTGACTGCTATCTTTACCTTCAGAGATTT